CTAATGGTCCGTGAATACCAGCGATCTCCAAACTGTGGCCCGGGGGCCAGATGTGGCCCTTTGCTTGCCCTTATCTGGCCCTTGAGGCACATTCCACCAATGGTCACCAATGACGGGGCACCATTCCCTCTACTGACAATCAATGGGGTACTTTTCTTCTCTTCGAAATCAACAACGGGATACTATTCCTCCCATTAAAACCAATGATGGTGCACTGATGCCGGACATTTTCTACCCCCACCGGCCACAGTCCGCCCCCCTAAACCCCCGAAGGATAGTAAACTGGTCCTTTGCTTGGGAAGTTCAGAGACCCCTAGTGTATAGAAATCTATGTGCATTCAACAAAAATGAAAACAAATATATATATATATAATAAAAGTATCCATACGAGGCGTGTCCAGAAAGTAACGAGAATGATATTTTAAACATTCTTTTACTGAAAACTGTTACAATTGAATATTGTCTCCTTCAAAGTATGCACCCTGTGAGCGGGGGGGGGTGCATTTAGGTTTTGTGCTGCCCTAGGCAACACAAAAATTGGCACCCCCCCCCACAAAGGCTGACATTGACCAACAACACCCCTGCCTCCCACCCAAGAGAGCCTTCCACTACCTCTGCCCCCCATCATTCACCACCATCCCCCATGGTGAGAGAGAAAGACACTCACCTTCACAGCTCTGGACATCCCCAGGAACGAGAGTCAGGCTGTGCATACACCGTCATGAAACTCGCAGCCTCTCTCGGAACCCACCAGGTCCCCATGTCGTGTGTGTCCCTTCTTCCAAGGGTCAGTGCTGCCCCCCCCTGAAAAATGCCGCCCTAGGCAAATGCCTTGTTTGCCTTGTGGTAAATACACCCATGCCTCCACCACAAACACAGAGAACTCACCAGATGTATGTGACCACTTGCTACAGGTAAGTAAAAAAACACTATACAGGGGCTAAACACCATCCATTTTCCACCCGGACCAACTTCTCTTCTTTCCTCTTGCTGACGTCCTCATATAAACTCATCCAACATAAGGAGGGAATGAAGACCGCCATGGAGCGAAAGCCACCAATTGACATACATGGTATGTTGCTTGACTTTAAGTGGTCATGGGTCACGGTTTATGGGTCGGCTTTCTTGTACAAGCAATCAGGGCTGCTAACAATTCCCCCCCCCTTGATCTGCCGCTCGCTCGGGCTCTCCTGTCCCCACCGGGAGACCCGAGCAACCAGCCGGCGCATCCACTGGCTGGGCAGACAACCAAACAAAGCCGGGATCTGCTTTGATCGGATCTCCGTGATGGTAACCTGGAAGCGATGACCAAGACCGATCTTGGTGTTTTGAATGCTTTGGAGGGCAGAGAAGGAATTTGGGGTCTTATAGACCACAGATCTCTCCATAAAGAGTACCTGTCATCAAGTGGTGTATTTAGGGGGGTTTGTGCTGCCCTATGCAACACAAAAATCAGCTCCCCCCACTGGATGACCCTGACACCGACCAACACTCAGGGGGGACTGACAACTCATGGGGCCCCTGAGCAATAGGGGATCATGAGGCCCTTGTGTCCTTGCCCACACTCAAAGCATACCCAAAAAAGCCTATAAAAAAAAGGTACCAGGGGCATTTCTTGGGGCCCCCTACTGACCCCGGGCCCTCGGGCAGTGCTCTCAGAGTGTCACTCGAACACTGGTCAGTGGGACCCCCCCTGTGAACACATGGCCACTCTTTTTTCACCATGCAGAGCGCCCTAAGGACCAGGTCTTTTGGCTAAGTCCGGGGCAACTACACCCAGGGCCCACCCCTACCCGAGCAAGCCACTTCCACTACCACCACCCCCAATTTACTGGCAACCCCCCACGTTTGTCCCTTTCGCTTATGCGAGTGTTTTTCAGAGAAGCCTTCTCTACCTTCCCCCCTCAGGGGGTTTTCAGCCCCCTCACCTAGGATGTCACCACCCCCCATGGTGAGAGAGAGAAGACACTCACCTTCACAGCTCTGGACATCCCCGGGAACAAGAGTCAGGCTCTGCATACACCATCAAGCAGCCCGCACCCTCTCTCAGATCCCACCTGGTCCCCATGCTGCATGTGTCCCTTCTTTCGAGGGGTGATGCACTGCCCCCCTGAAAAATGCCGCTGCCCCCCCTGAAAAATGCTGACCTAGGCAAATTGCCTTGTTTGCCTTGTGGTTAATACATTCATGCCTGTCACATGGTTATTGGTGTGTCACAAGGGATGTGTATATTTCTTGTGACAGCAATAAAAGTGATTTAAAAAAAAAGTAAAGCAACAGTATAAAAAAAAATAAATAAATTGTCTCCTTTGCCCCTGCTACATGCAGAGGCCACACGAGGTCCCTTTCTACTCTTCCCTGGGTGTATAGGAAGTGACGCGCTCTACCTGGGGAAGAGTAGGAAGGAAGCTCCCGTGGCCACAATATATGGAGCAGGTATCTCCCTACTCCTAATGTTAACAATTTTTAGGATTTCACACCATGGCGGTCTTCCTTTACCCCTTTCTTGTGTTGTATGAGTTACGAGGAGAGAAAAGAAGCTGGTCCTGGTGGACAACAGTTGGTGGTTAACCCCTGAATAACAAGAGTTTTTGTGACTTACCTGTAGTGGGTGGTCATATAAATCTGGCGAGTTCTGTGTTGGGGATCACTGGAGCTTTGCGTTATGTCCGCATGTACTCAAGAAGTTTGCATGAGAGCACGTTTATGGGATCTGTGTCACGGAAACAGTATTAAGGGCGTAGAGCCTGAATTTGTTGGAGATGTTTGCAATATTGCACTTTTTGTCAAATTTTCAATGCTGTAAAAAAGTATTTGCCCCCTTTCTGAGATTTTTTTTTTTTTTGCATATTTGTCACATTTAAATGATTAAGATCATCGAACTAATTTTAATATTACACAAAGAGCCCGAGTAACTACAAAAAGCAGTTTGTAAATGACGACTTCATTTATTAAGGGGAAAAAGCCGTCCAAACCTGCCCGGCCCTATGTGACAAAGTAATTGCCCCCCTAAACCTAATAACTGGTTGGGCCACCCTTGGCGGCAGCAACTGAGATCCAGCGTTTGCAATAACTGACGATGAGTCTTTCCTCTTGCTGACGGAGGAATTTCGGCCCGCTCTTCTTTGAAGAATTGCCTTCATTCAGCCACATTGGAGGGTCTTCCAGCATGAACGGCCTGTTGAAGGTCACGCCGCAACATCTCCATCGGATTACATTTTTTTTAGGTAGTCAGAGGTGGACCTGCTGGTGTTTCGGATCATTGATCTGCTGCATAACCCGAGTGCGCTTGAGCTTGAGGTCAGGAAGTGATGGACGGACATTCTCCTTCGGATTTTCTGGTAGAGCGCAGAATTCCTGGTTCCATCAATTATGGCAAGTCACGCAGGTCCTGAACCCAGACCATCACACTACCACCACCATGTTTCACTGTTGGGATGATGGTCTTTTTATGAAATGCTGTGTTAGTTTTACATCAGATGTAACGGGACGCACACCTTCCAAAAAATTCAACCTTTGTCCCATCAGTCCGCAGAATATTTGCCCAAAGGTATTGGGGATGATGAAGATGTTTCTGGCAAATGTGAGACGAGCCTTTGTGTTCTTTTTTTTGGTCAGCAGTGGATTTGGCCTTGGACCTCTCCCATGGAGACCATGTTTGCCCGGTCTCTTTCTTATTGTTGAATCATGAACACCGACCTTAAGTGAGGCAAATGAGCCCTGCAGTTATTTAGATGTTCTGGGTTCCTTTATGACCTCCTGGATGAGCCATCCTTGTGCTCTTGGAGTCATTTTGGTAGGCTGACCACTCCTGGGAAGTTTCACCACTGTTCCAGGTTTTCTCCATTTGTGGACAATGGCTCTCACCATGGTTGGCTGGGATCCCAAAGCCTTAGAAATGACTTTGTAACCCTTTCCAGCCTGATACATGTCAATGACTTTGTTTTTCATCTGTTCTTCAATGTTTTTAGATGGCAGCATGACGTGTTGCTTTTTTAGATCTTTTTTAGCATGCTTCACTTTGTCAGACAGCTTCTATTAAAGTGATTTCTTGATTCGACAGGTCTGGCAGTAATCAGGCCTGGGTGTGGAAAGTGAAATTTAACTCAGCTTTCCCAAAAATGTGGTTAATCACAGTTAATTCATGATTTAGCAATGGGGGGGGGGGGGGGGGCAATTACTCTTTTACATAGGGCCAGGCAGGTTTGGACAGCTTTTTTCCCTTGATAAATGAAATCATCATTTAAAAACTGCATTTTGTATTTCCTCGACTTATCTTTGTGTAATAAAATTTGTATGTTGATCTGAATCATTTAGGTGTGACAAATATACAAAAAGGGGGCAAATACATTTTCACAGCACTGTATATGGACACTTTATTTCTGTACTTTACTGTACAATATTTATTTTAATTTTTGCTGAATGCACAAAGATTTGTGTACACAACAATGACAACAGCTTCCGGCTTCTCTAAGAAATATATTAGAAATGTCTGAAACACAATGTGACAAATTCACACATATGAGGATCTAACAGAACAAGAGCAGAAAGGCATCAAATTAGAAGTCAAAAGACCAGGAGCTCCCGGCTGCTTTTGTGAAGGAAAAGGTCAAAGACAGGGTAGCAGACTGACGAGAAGATGGATGAATGGATCGGTTCTTTATGATTTAAGTCAACAATACATTGTTATGAGAAAGATCGGCATCCTGAGAGACTGTAGGAAACTGTAAAGGAGAATATACATTTCCAGATTGTCTCAACAAAGTATTAGTCCTAAGGGGACCACCACACAGCCTTTTATTGCAGCTTCTGACCTCGGACAACGTGACCTGAACCTTACAACAGGCAATAATAACGAGAACCTTCACACGGAAAATAGTGTATTGAATCTTCATAAATGTATATGGTGTTAATTGTACCTACCTTTTTTTTGGATCAATATGGAATGAGTAAATCTGTCCAAATGAGTGGAAACCTCTCCTAAGATTGCTGTCACCAGGACAGATACACTATTTTGCCAAAAATATTAGGCTAGCCCTCCAAATCATGTGATTCAGGTGTTCCAATCCCCTCCATATCATGTGATTCAGGTGTTCCAATCCCCTCCATATCATGTGATTCAGGTGTTCCTATCCCCTCCATATCATGTGATTCAGGTGTTCCAATCCCCTCCCATCATGTGATCCAGGTGTTCCAATCCCCTCCACATCATGTCATTCAGGTGTTTCCCATCCCCTCCATATCATGTGATTCAGGTGTTCCAATCCCCTCCCAATCATGTGATTCAGGTGTTCCAATCCCCTCCCAATCATGTGATTCAGGTGTTCCAATCCCCTCCATATCATGTGATTCAGGTGTTCCAATCCCCTCCATATCATGTGATTCAGGTGTTCCAATCCCCTCCATATCATGTGATTCAGGTGTTCCAATCCCCTCCATATCATGTGATTCAGGTGTTCGAATACCCTCCATATCATGTGATTCAGGTGTCCCAATCCCCTCCATGGACACAGGTGTATACAATCAAGCCCCTAGGCATGCAGACGGCTTCTACAAACATTGGTGAAAGAATGGGTCGCTCTCAGGAGCTCAGTGACTCCAAGCGTGGTCCCGTGATAGGTGGCCACCTGGGCAATAAGTCCATCCGGGACATTTCCTGGCTAATAAATATTTCACGCTCAACTGTTAGTGGGATTATAACAAAGTGGAAGCCACTGGGAACAACAGCCACTCAGCCACCAAGTGGTAGGCCACGTCACATGACAGGGCTGGGTCAGCGCATGCTGAAGCGCACAGTGCGCAGAAGTCACCAACTGTCTGCAGAGTCAATAGTTAAAGACCTCCAAACTTGGTGTGGCCTTCAGATGAGCCCAACAACAGTGCATAGAGAGCTTCATGGAAGACATGGAGGAGCCAGTTTGGGGTGGAGGAACTTGACTGTCCTGCACAGAGTCCTGACCTCAACCCCATAGAACACCTTTGGGATGAATTAGAGCGGAGACTGCGAGCCAGGCCTCCTCCCCCGACATCAGTGCCTGACCTGACAAATGTGCTTCTGGAAGAATGGTCCAACCTTCCCATAGACACCCTCCTAAACCTTGTGGACGGCCTTCCCAGAAGAGTTGAAGCTGTTATAGCTGCAAAGGGGGGGGCCCAACTCAATATTGAACCCTACGGACTAAGACTGGGGGGCCATTAAAGGTCATGTCCGTGGAAAGGGCGGGGCCAACTCAATATTGAACCCTACGGACTAAGACTGGGGGGCCATTAAAGGTCATGTGTGTGGGAAGGGCGGGGCCAACTCAATATTGAACCCTACGGACTAAGACTGGGAGGCCATTAAAGGTCATGTGTGTGGGAAGGGCGGGGCCAACTCAATATTGAACCCTACGGACTGAGACTGGGGGGCCATTAAAGGTTATGTGTGTGGAAAGGGCGGGGCCAACTCAATATTGAACCCTACGGACTGAGACTGGGGGGGTCATTAAAGGTTATGTGTGGAGAAAGGCCTGCGGCCCATAACTTGGCGAACTATAGTGTATCTCCATTGGAGGATTTCCTGTCATCTTCTGTTATGGTGACAATTTTATGATGTATAATTTCCTATCGCTTTCTGTGCCATTAACAATGGTCACCAGCAATAAAACCCCAATCTAATCCTTCCCTAACACTTCCTAAACAAAAAAACAGTTTTGGCTATAGATACTCCTAACGTATGGTCACAAGACATTATACATGTAGCTCCTTCCTAGTCAGTGTAGTGTAGTCTGTTAGGCCAAATGTAGTTTTGGCTCCCCTGCAATCAGAGGAGCAGAGGTTGATTCATTGGGGATGCTCAGGGTTTCACAGGCTGCTGCTCTGCTGCTTTCCCTTGTCTTCAAGAGATTTGTAGAACATAGTAGGAGGGCAGAGACTGCAGCCTGCATATTTATGGAACTTCAACCAATCCCTTGGGAGGTGTGCCCAGAAGGTGGGGGAGAGCCCATAAATAGCCTGAGGCCTGAGCAGCAGGAGTATGTGCGTATGTAGGGCAGTGTTCCATAGTCAAGCCCACTGGAGGAGACCCCTGAAGGTCTTAGCTCCGAGGTGTCAGCTAAGCTTCGTGGGGGGTGGGTGCTATTTGCAAAGCCATCCCACGAAACCAGAGGGTCAGGAGGGAGCTCATGGGAGAGAGCCAATGGGAAGCTGTGGGAGAGAGCTCAAGTTGTCAAAGAGGCAGTGTGAGCCTACATCTCCCTCAGGAAAAAAAAAAAAAAAATGAATAAAAAAAAAAAAAAAAAAAAAAAAACAAAAAAAAAAAAAAAAAAAAAACAAAAGTGTAAAACCTGGTGGATATCGGCAGGAGGCAACCTGATCCTGTTGGAGTACAAGACTCCAGTGCTGCAAGGGTGACAGTGAGGTACTTTGGGACTGTGAGTGAAGTACATGTCACAGGCAGCTGAAGATTCTATGGGACTTTGCTGGGAAAGTGGAGTCAGAAGTTGAGCGAGGTTTACAATAGTTGGGCAGAGTAGCCAGAAGTTTAGCAGTCCTCAAGTTGTTCAGTTTCTCTTCAGTTCTGGGGAATCTCATGCTCCCAATCCAAGTTCATTGTTAACCAATAAAAACCAAGGAAGGTTGCTAAAAATGCTGTGTGCCTGGCTGTGTGCGCAATAAAGGGGGAAAGAGGCCCAAATTCACCATCAGAGCTGCGCTGCATACACACAATTGGATACACTTCACAAATACCCACCTGATCAGTGTTTTTCAGTTATTTCTGTTCCGGCCGTATGAAAACAGCTTAAAGTGCTTCTTGGTGTCAAAAACAGTCACATTTACTGGAATGAGTAGGAATGACCCCCAGAGAATCCCCAACTGCTGCGATTTTATGAGGAAAAGGCAGAAATAGCAGTCTTCAGTACACAGCATAGACACAGGCCCTGTAATCAAGATAATAAGGGGTTTACTCACAGAAAATATAGACATCTACACAAAACACAAAATGTATCGAAGCTAAACAACAGTACTTATGCTTCATATACTCACCGGCCACTTTATTAGGTCCACCATGCTAGTGCCAAGAAAATCTCCCCCCACACCATGACACCACCACCCAGCCTGAACCGTGAATACAAGGCAGGATGGATCCCCCACACCATGACACCACCACCACCAGCCTGAACCATTGATACAAGGCAGGATGGATCCCCCACACCATGACACCACCACCACCAGCCTGAACCATTGATAAAAGGCAGAATGGATCCCCCACACCATGACACCACCACCACCAGCCTGAACCATTGAATACAAGGCAGGATGTATCCCCCACACCATGACACCACCACCAGCCTGAACCGTGAATACAAGGCAGGATCCACCACACCATGACACCACCACCACCAGTCTGAACCATTGATACAAGGCAGGATGGATCCACCACACCATGACACCACCACCACCAGTCTGAACCGTTGATACAAGGCAGGATGTATCCCCCACACCATGACACCACCACCACCAGCCTGAACCATTGATACAAGGCAGGATGGATCCACCACACCATGACACCACCACCAGCTTGAACCGTGAATACAAAGCAGGATGGATCCCCCACACCATGACACCACCACCACCAGCCTGAACCATTGATACAAGGCAGGATGGATCCATCACACCATGACACCACCACCAGCCTGAACCGTTGATACAAGGCAGGATGGATCCACCACACCATGACACCACCACCAGCCTGAACCGTGAATACAAGGCAGGATGGATCCACCACACCATGACACCACCACTGCCAGCCTGAACTGTTGATACAAGGCAGGATGGATCCACCACACCATGACACCACCACCATCAGCCTGAACGAGGATACAAGGCAGGATGGAAGCACCACACCATGACACCGCCAGCCTGAACCGTTGATACAAGGCAGGATGGATCCCCCACACCATGACACCACCAGCCTGAACCATTGATACAAGGCAGGATGGATCCACCACACCATGACACCTCCACCAGCCTGAACCATTGATACAAGGCAGGATGGATCCCCCACACCATGACACCTCCACCAGCCTGAACCATTGATACAAGGCAGGATGGATCCATGCTTTCATGTTGGTTACCCCAAATTCTGGCCCTACCATATGAATGTCGCAGCTGAAATCCAGACTCATCAGACCCGGCAATGTTCTTCCAATCTTCTATTGTCCAATTATGGTGATCCTGTGTGAATTGTAGCCTCCGTTTCCTGTTCTTAGCTGACAGGAGTGGCACCCGGTGTGGTCTTCTGCTGCTGTAGCCCATCATTCAAGGTTGGGCGTGTTGTGTGTTCAGAGATGGTATTCTGCACACCTTGGATGTAACGAGGGGTTATTGGAGTTACTGTTACCTTTCTATCATCTGGAACCAGTCTGCCCATTCTCCTCTGACACCAACAAGGCATTTTCCTCCACACAACTGCCACTCACTGGATATTTTCTCTTTTTTGGACCATTCTCTGTAAACCCCAGAGATGGCTGTGCGGGAAAATCCCAGGAGATCAGCAGTTTTTGAAATACTCAGACCAGCCTGTCTGGCACCAACAACCATGCCACGTTCAAAGTCACTTAAATCTCCTTTCTTCCCCATTTTGATGGTTGGTTTGAACTTCAGCAAGTTGTCTTCATCATGTCTAGATGGCTAAATGCATCGAGTTTCTGCCATGTGATTGGCTGATTAGCGATTATTGTTACCAAGTCAATGAACAGATGGACCTAATAAAGTGGCCGTTGAGTGTATACCACCAGCATATTCAGCAGCTCTTTACAGAAAGTAAACAACAAAAATCAATTCCCAACAATACAACATTCCCACCAGAGAAATACAAACACGGTACAAGTAGCGCTACTCCCCATAGGGGCCGCAGGAATACTGTCCGGGTCTTCCCCAAAGCTTTGCCCCACAGCCAGGCACTTGGGCTCATTCACTTGTTTCTTCAATGACCAGTTTAGGGGGGTTGTTTTTGTTGATTTTATTTTTGGAGAACTTGATTAGGGATGAGGAAGTAGGTGGGATACTCCAAAAACAGACTATATACAGTTGGGTACTTTAGGTACTCTGCAGGAGAAGCTCTGATGAAGAGTGGGTGTGGCCAGCTCAGTGGATTGCTGTAGGAAAGTCCTGGATTCTTATTGGATACACAGAATATAACTGGATATAACATTTATAGGGAAAGGTGATCCCGGGAATATCCGATTATTGATCCCGGGAATATCCGATTATTGATCCAGGGAATATCCGATTATTGATCCCGGGAATATCCGATTATTGATCCCGGGAATATCCGATTATTGATCCAGGGAATATCCGATTATTGATCCCGGGAATATCCGAATATTGATCCAGGGAATATCCGATTATTGATACAGGGAATATCCGATTATTGATACAGGGAATATCCGAATATTGATCCCGGGGAATATCCGAATATTGATCCCGGGAATATCCGAATATTGATCCCGGGAATATCCGAATATTGATCCCGGGAATATCCAATTATTGATCCAGGGAATATCCGAATATTGAT